ACCAGGATGGTCTCGATCTCTTGACCTCGTGATCCACCCGCCTCGGCCTCCCAAAGTGCTGGGATTACAGGCTTGAGCCACCGCGCCCGGCCTGCACTTTCAACTTCAATTAAATCTTTCTGTATTGCAAAAGGAGTTATTCCTTAAAATTTTACCAGTCCTTCTATTTTCATTTCAGAGTTACAAGTTTTTTTCAGTTCTTTCTTTAATTCATTTTGTTGTTGGCTTTATTGTTTTTTTCCCCCAAAGGTGGCTCATGGTTGCCTCTGTTCCTTGAGTTCTTGCTTGTTTGAGAATGTCTGTTCCTGAAAAGACAGCTTGTCAGGATGTGAAATTCCAGGGTCAGACTTTTTTTTCCCTTTCTGAGCTTTATAGACACTGCCTTTTGCTAGTGAAGAAGCCTATGAAGTTTATTCCCCCACCTCACCCCAATCCCTGTTCTGATTATCATTCTTGAAATTCAGTAGCTTCACCAAAATGTGTCTTAAAGGCGATGTCTTATAGGACAGGGTGTACTTTCACTCTAAAAATACAAGGTTCTCTTTATTTTAGAATGTACATGTGGCGGTGGTGGTGGTGGTGGTTCAAAAACTAACAAGCTGGCTGAGCGCTGTGGTTTATGCCTGTAATCCCAGCACTTTGGGAGGCTGAGGCAGGTGGATCACCTGAGGTTGGGAGTTTGATACCAGTCTGATCAACATGGAGAAACCCCATCTCTACTAAAAATACAAAGTTAGCTGGGCGTGGTGGCCGTGCCTATGATGATCCAAGCTACTTGGGAGGCTGAGGAAGGAGAATCGCTTGAACCCTGGAGGCATAGGTTGCAGTGAGCCAGGATGGAGCCACTGCACTCCAGCCTGGCAACAAGAGCAAAACTCTATCTCAAAAAAAATAAATACCTGTAAGGAGTTTCTCAGGGAGGTGATGGCTCATGCCTGCAATCCCAGCACTTTAGGAGGCCGAGATGGGCAGATCACCTGAGGTCAGGAGTTCAAGACCAGCCTGGCCAACATGGTGAAAGTCTGTCTCTACTGAAAATACAAAAATTAGCTGGGCGTGGTGGTAGGTGCCTGTAATCCCAGCTACTCGGGAGGCTGAGGCTGGAGAATTGCTTGAAGCCAGGAGGTGGAGATTGCAGTGAGCTGAGATCGTGCCATTGCACTCCTGCTTGAGGGACAAGAGTAAAACTACATCTCAAAAAAAAAACTAAGGAGTTTCTGTTTGTCACACAAGGATGTCTGGAGGTGGGCACTTGGAAAGATGATGCAGTCATTCAATGATACCATCAAAGAGAGCCTGCCTTCCTGCTTTGCTGTCATCAGTGTGTTTGTTCACAGACATGTGAAAGTGTGTGTCTCTCTACACACTTGAGGCTACAAGATGGTTGCTTCACTTGCAGTCTCAGGTGTAGGGAGGAAGGTGATGTGCAAGAGGATGAAAACCCAACTTGTTTCTTTATTTTCAATAGACAAAACATTATCGTGATTAAAAGATCAAAAATATTTTAAAATATTCAGTGAAAAGTCTCCCTTCTCTCTAATCCCCATCCCCATATGGTAGTTGACTAGTGTTTTCAGAGAACATTTTCTTCTATAATAGATTTTTTTTTTTTTTTTTGAGACAGAGTTTTGCTCGTTACCCAGGCTGGAGTGCAATGGCGCGATCTCGGCTCACCGCAACCTCCACCTCCTGGGTTCAGGCAATTCTCCTGCCTCAGCCTCCTGAGTAGCTGGGATTACAGGCACGCGCCACCATGCCCAGCTGATTTTTTTTTGTATTTTTAGTAGAGACGGGATTTCACCATGTTGACCAAGATGGTCTCGATCTCTCAACCTCGTGATCCACCCGCCTCGGCCTCCCAAAGTGCTGGGATTACAGGCGTGAGCCACCGTGCCCGGCCTATAATAGATTTAAATATATTTTCCATTAATTCTGTTCTCTTTATTAAGAACTCTTGATGGCCGGTCTCAGTGGCTCACACCTGTAAATCCTAGCACTTTGGGAAGCCGAGGCGGATGGATCATGGGATCAAGAGATCAAGACCATCCTGGCTAACATGGTGAAACCCCGTCTCTACTAAAATTAGAAAAATTAGCTGGGCATGGTGGCACACACCTGTAGTCCTAGCTACTTGGGAGGCTGTGGCAGGAGAATCACTTGAACCCAGGAGGCAGAGGTTGCAGTGAGCTGAGATTGCACCACTGCATTCCAGCCTGGTGACAGAGTGATACGCCATCTCAAAACAAACAAACAAAAAAACCCTTGACTGGACACAGTGGCCTTACACCTGTAATCCCAGCAGTTTGGGATGCCAAAGCAGGCAAATCACTTGAAGTCAGGAGGTCAAGACCAGCCTGGGCAACGTGGTGAAACCCTGTTTCTACTAAAAAATAAAAACTAAATAAAAATTTAAAAATTAGGTGTGCATGGTGGCATGTGCCTATAATCCCAGCTACCCAGGAGTCTGCGGCAGGAGAATAGCTTAAACTCGGGAGGTGGAGGTTGCAGTGAGTTGAGTTCACGTGACAGCACTCCAGCCTGGGTGACAGAGTAAGACCCCGTCTCAAAAGAAAGTAACTCATAACAATGCAGATACTGAATCTTCTTTAAGGTCTCACTCTGTCGCCCAGGCTGCAGTGCAATGGCAGAATTGTAGCTGACTATAGCCTCCAACTCCTGGGCTTAAGCAGTCCTCCCACCCAAGCCTCCCCTGTAGCTGCGACTGCAGGCATGCACTACCATTCACAGTTAATTTTTAATTTTTTTTTTTTATAGATGGGGTGCATTGTGATGCCCAGGCTGATCTCAAACCCATGGCCTGAAGCGATCCTCCTACCTCAGCCTCCTAAGTGTTGGGATTACAAGCTTGAGTCAGCCTTGCCTGGTCTTTCATATCTGTCTTTTTTTCCTTTGTTTTGTATCCTATACCCAGTCTTTGCTATCCCTGTATTTAGTCATGTTTTCTTTCTTTCTTTTTTGAGACAGGGTCCTGCTGTGTCACCCAGGCTGGAGTGCAGTGGTACAATCTTGGCTTACTGCCACTGTCACTGGGACCACAGGTGTGCACCATCACGCCTGGCCAACTTTTTGGAGAGATGGTTTTCCCAGTTTGCCCAGGCTGCTCTTGAACTCCTGGGCTCAAGTCATCCACCCACCTAAGCCTCCCAAAGTTGCAATTACAGGCATGAACCATTGCACCTAGCCTATTTAATTTTTTATTGTTTCTGGAATGGTATTTAGCTCTTTAATTTGTTTCTCTTTCAGTTCTTTCCTGAATTCAGTGATGCAAATCTCCTTACTATATAATAATCTCTTCAGTGTTGTTTCTTTTAGCTCTTTTTAAATAAGAAGGAGTGTGTTATTTTTCGGTGTTCTTGAGGCTATTAAAAACTATTTCTCTGAACTATTTACATTTCCTTGGGAAGTTTCTCTTGTGATGAATGCATTCCTCTTTATAATATCTCAGCATAATTTCCATGCTGATTCTTTGATTGTGGCCAGCTATTTATTGAAGAATGACACAAAGGATGGGTGGGAGAATGAGCTGTGTATTCTATAACTTTACACTTTTTTTTTTTTTTTTTTTTGAGACAGAGTCTCATTCTGTTGCCCAGGCTAGAGTGCAGTGGCATGATCTTGGCTCATTGCAACCTCCGCCTCCTTGGTCCAAGCAATTCTTATGCCTCAGCCTCCTGAATAGCTAGGGCTGCAGGTACATGCCACCACGCTTGGCTAATTTTTCCTATATTTTTAGTAGATACATGTTTTGCCAGGTTTGCTAGGCTGGTCTTGAACTCCTATTCTCAAGTGATCCACTCACCTCAGCTTCCCAGTGTTGGAATTACAGGCGTGAGCCACCATGCCTGGCTTATAACTTTACAACTTATTTGTCCATCTTCTGTGAAATCTGTAGTTTCCTTTACTCTTGGGATGCATTCTCCCACAGTTTTTGTCACTCAGAGTTACTGTGGTTTAAAACAAACCCCTAAAAATGTCAGGTATTCAACATTGTGATTTAATGATCATTGCTTACCCTGCCTCCTCCTCCCCGTAAGTAGCGTGGTAAGTAGATAGAAGATAGTAGACATGATACTTCAGCATGGTTTTTCCCATTCTTTAGTGCCATCTGAATCTCTGTAGAGAAGTTTCCCAATTTTTCTGGGACCTGCCCATAGTCATTCTGACCACAGGATAATTTGCTAGGCTTTTTATTCTGAATAATTACTTTTAGAAAATGTGTTTTAGCTGATATTCACTCAGGCATGTCACAGTAGCATTGCAAGATGCTTTGTATTAAACTAAATCTGGTTATATATGTGTGTCTATATGTTGGGCTAGCAAGTCAAAGACATTCATGTTAGATCTAAGACTTGGGACAACATACATTGTAGAGGCAAATGTAGTTAGCTGTTCAGTTTACTTGTAATATTTTAAAATCAAAGTTTTTTGGGTTTTTTTTTTTTTTTTTTAGGTCCTAAAGGAAGCTAAAAAACCTATGGTGGTTTTAGGCAGTTCTGCACTACAAAGAAATGATGGAGCAGCAATTTTTGCAGCTGTTTCTAGCATTGCACAAAAGATTCGGATGACTAGTGGCGTTACTGGTGATTGGAAAGTTATGAATATCCTTCATAGGTTTGTTGAGTAATTGCTCTTTATGCTATAAATTCAAGTAATTTTGTGTGTGTATATGTGTTCCTGATACACTGTCACATTTAATTTACAAGCAACATTTAGCAACATCCCAGTTACATGTGTGAAATGTAGACATAGACCTTTACTCTCTGTATGAGAAGGCCCAAGATAATAAGGAATATTAAAAATACTTGAAATAGCAGTGAGTGTTGAGAAAAAAAGTGAAGTACTTTAAAAATTGTTATATTATACCTTGGTTCAAAAATTTCAACAAGTTCTTTGATTAAATAATAAGCTAATGTGAGAATTCAGCTGAAGGATTTCTTTTTTTTTTTTAATTATTTGGTTTTTTGTTTTAAGACGGGGTCTCAGTGCCATGGTGCGATCATAGTCCATTGCAGCCCTGAATTCCTGAGCCCCAGTGATCTCCCACCCCTGCCTCCCAAGTATTAAATAGCTGAAACTACAGGTGCATGCCACATGCCCAGCTAATGTTTTATTTTTGTAGAGATGAGATCTCACTATGTTGCCGAGGCTGATCTCAAAACTCCTGGGCTCACGCGATACTTCTACCTCAGCCTTCCAAACTGCTGGGACTGTAAGTGTGAGCCACTGCACCTGGCCTGTATTTCTAACTATATCAATAATGCAGGTTTAATTTAGGTAACTTGAAAAGAGACAAACATGAGCAGAAATGGAGCTGATCCTTATTCTACATTGTGTAGATATTATTATTGCTATATTCATGCATTTTCTTCTAGTTTTTATTTACCCTGTGTAATATTTTACTTTTTGAAACCGGAGTCTCACTCTGTTGCCCAAGCTGGAGTACAGTGGTGCAGTCTTGGCTTACTGCAGCCTTCACCTCCCAGGTTCAAGCAACCCTCCTGCCTCAGCCTCCCAAGTAGCTGGGACTGTTGGTGTGTGCCACCACAGCTGACTAATTTTTGTATTTTTAGTAGAAACAGGGTTTCTACACCAGGCTGGTCTCAAAGTCCTGACCTCAGGTGATCCACCCACCTCGGACTCCCAAAGTGCTAGAATTACAGACATGAGACACTCTACCTGGTGGCTGTGTAATACTTTTTAGTTACATAGGTGAAATTATACTGTGAATACAATTTTGTATCCTGGTTTTAATAGGTTTTCATTGCCAAACGAGAATTTCCTACTATGATCAGAATTTGTTTTTCCAGAAATTGTTTATAAATAAAAGCGTTAATGGCTAATTAATATCATGAATATACTATAAATTTTTTTAGCCATTTTCTTTTCAACATGTATGTTAATGCTAGTTTTTAACTTCTTAAATAATAACAGTGATACACAGATACCTTTACACTTGATATTATTTTCTTAGGATATATTTCTAAAAATAGGACTGTTGGGGCACACAGGATAACCATTTCTGAGGCTTTTGAAGCATGCTTCCAACTTGTTTTAGAAAGTTTTACCTATTTATATTATATATAGTAGATCCTCAGAATGGCTATTTCTAGATAGTTAACAATAGCAAGTTAGATCAAAACAACAACCCTATTATTCAAAGTTTATTTATTCTAGACCTCTTCCTTAAAAAATTATTTTCTGCTTATAAGAGTAATATAGGCTGGGTGCAGTGGCTGACATCTGTAATCCCAGCACTTTGGGAGGCCAAGGTGGACAGATTACCTGAGGTCAGGAATTCGAGACCAGCCTGACCAACACGGAGAAACCCCATCTCTACTAAAAATACAAAAAATTAGCCAGGCATGGTGGCACATGCCTGTAGTCCCAGCTAATCAGGAGGCTGAAGCAGCAGAATCGCTTGAACACAGGAGGTGGAGGTTGCAGTGAGCTGAGACTGCGCCACTGCACTCCATCCAGCCTGGTGGCAGAGCAAGACTCCATCTCAAAAAATAAATAAATAAATAAATAAATTTATCCTTGTTGATTTTTGAAATCATTTGATTTTTCTGTAATGAATATGTATAGCTTGTCATGTTTTATGTCTTACTGTATTGAATAAGAGTCAGACTTAAAGCAATTACAATGGGCATAAAATTTTAGAATTATTTCATTTGTTACTATGTCATAGAGAGACAGAGTGTCTTAAGAATCTTACATTTCTTTGGTTGCCATTCTCAAAACAGTAAAAGACTGCTGTTTCTGGTTTTGGCATCTATTTTAAATGGGTAAGAATGGGGTTTTTTGGCCAGGCATGGTGGCTCAGGCTTGTAATCCCAGCACTTTGGGAGGCCAAGGTGGGTGGATCACCTGAGGTCAAAAGTTCAAGACCAGGCTGGCCAACATGATGAAACCCGCTCTCTGCCAAAAATATAAAAATTAGCTGAATGTGCCGGGCGTGGTGGCTCAAGCCTGTAATCCCAGCACTTTGGGAGGCCGAGGCGGGTGGATCATGAGGTCAAGAGATCGAGACCATCCTGGTCAACACGGTGAAACCCCGTCTCTACTAAAAATACAAAAAATTAGCTGGGCATGGTGGCACGTGCCTGTAATCCCAGCTACTGAGGAGGCTGAGGCAGGAGAATTGCCTGAACCCAGGAGACGGAGGTTGCGGTGAGCCGAGATCACGCCATTGCACTCCAGCCTGGGTAACAATAGCGAAACTCCGTCTCAAAAAAAAAAAAAAAAAATTAGCTGAATGTGATGGCACGTGCCTATAGTCCCAGCTACTTGGCAGGCTGAGAAAGGAGAATTGCTTAAATACGATAGGCAGAGGTTACAGTGAGCTGAGGTTGTGCCACTGCATTCTAGCCTGGGCAACAGAGTGATACTCTATCTCCAAAAATAAAGTAAATAAATAAAATGGGTTCTTTGACAGCATTGAAATTATTCCAAGAATCACATTTATTTTTTTACATTGAAAACACTGCAGTTATGGTAAAGTTCTATAATTGTTTTATAGGATTGCAAGTCAAGTAGCTGCTTTAGACCTTGGCTATAAACCTGGGGTGGAAGCAATTCGGAAGAACCCTCCCAAGGTGCTGTTTCTCCTGGGAGCAGATGGAGGTTGTATCACACGACAGGATTTGCCAAAGGATTGTTTCATTATTTATCAAGGTAAGTATCACCTGTGACACCAGAAGCAAAAGAGAATAGTACATTGTGTATATTATAAACCATTTTGTAATATGTTCAGTGAATTGAATGTTTTCCATTTGAGAATTTTACACCCCCCCTTCTCGAACCTGTTTTTTTTTTTTTTAAAACCATAAATGTTATTAGTTACATAGTTGATACTGCTTTTAAGAATTATTACCTACTGGGTGTGGTGGCTAACGCCTCTAATCCCAACACTTTGGGAGGCCGAGACTGGCGGATCACAAGGTCAAGAGATCAAGACCATCCTGGCTAACATAATGGAACCCTGTCTCTACTAAATATACAAAAATTAGATGGGCATGGTGGCCTGTAGTCTCAGCTACTTGGGATTCTGAGGCAGGAGAATTGCTTGAACTTGGGAGGTGGAGGTTGCATTGAGCCAAGATAGCGTGCTGCACCCTAGCCTGGTGACAGAGCGAGACTCCATCTCAAAAAAAAAAAAAAAATTATTATTACTTGCCGAGCATGGTGGCTCACCGCTGTAATCCCAGCACTTTGGTAGGCTGAGGTGGGTGGATCACCTAAGGTCAGGAGTTTGAGACCAGCTTGACTAACATGGTGAAACCCTGTCTCTACCAAAAATACAAAAATTAGCTGGGCGTGGTCGTGGGCACCTGTAATCCCAGCTACTCAGGAGTCTGAGGAGAATTGCTTGAACCCAGGAGGCAGAGGTTGCAGTGAGCCAAGATCATGCCATTGCACTCCAGCCTGGGAAACAAGACCGAAACTTTGTCTGACAAAAAAAAAAAATGTTAAAACAAAATATATGAACTAAATCCTGTTTCTTGGGTGCTGCGACTTATGCTGTAATCCCAGCACTTTAAGAGGCTGAGGCAGGAGGATTTGTTTCTACAAAAAAATTAAAAATTAGCTAGGCGTGGTGCTGCGTGTCAGTGATCCCAGCTACTTGGGAGACTGAGGTGGGAGGATCACTTGAGCCCAGGAGGTTGAAGTTACAGTGAGCCATGATCATGCCACTGCACTCTAACCTGGGTGACTGAACAATAAAAAACATTATTTTTTAATAAAATAGTAACATAAATAAACTAAAATCTGTTCCTAGTCCTTTCCAAAGATAATTATTAATGACAGTTTTGATATGCATACTTCATAACATCTTTGTATGCATATACAAATGTGCACAAATTATATTAAACTGTATATATTATTCTACAACTGTCTTTTTTTTGTGAGACGGAGTTTTTGCTTTTGTTGCCCAGGCTGGAGTGCAACGACGCAATCTTACTCACTGCAGTCTCCACCTCCCAGGTTCAAGCAATTGTCCTGCCTCAGCCTCCCAAGTAGCTGGGATTACAGGGATGCGCTACTACACCCAGCCTATTTTTTGTATTTTTAGTAGAGACGGGGTTTCTCCATGTTGGTCAGGCTGGTCTCCAGCTCCCGACCTGAGGTGATCCGCCCGCCTCTGCCTCCCTAAGTGCTGGGATTACAGGCATGAGCCACTGCATCTGGCCCATTCTACGACTTCGTACGCTTGATTCAGATATTTCTAAAGGTTTTCTTTTCTGAATAACTTTTTTTTCTTCTACCAGTTTTTAATTAATTGGTGATAGTGTTTCTGAATTTTTCTGTAATTTTTCGATTATGCCTTTTTTAGTATTACTACTGTCATATTCCTGTCTTTGCATCTTCCCCCATTTCAGTCTGCTTTACCAAATTTCACAAACTGGTACATCTGAGCAGTTCTACTTTGCAAGCATTTCTAGTTTGTAAGCATAAATATACTTATTGGCCCATTTTATATGTGTGTATGATATTACACTTACTTGTATTTGCATAAAATAGTCTGAGAAAATACTTTTTTTTTTTTTGAGACGGAGTCTTGCTCTGTCGCCAGGCTGGAGCATAGTGGCGCAGTCTCGGCTCACTGCAACCTCCACCTCCCGGGTTCAAGCGATTCTTCCACCTCAGCTTCCCAAGTAGCTGGGACTGCAGGCATGTGCCAAACACCCGGCTAATTTTTGTATTTTTAGTAGAGATGGGGTTTCACCATGTTGGCCAGGATGGTCTCGATCTCTTGACCTTGTGATCCACCTGCCTCGGCCTCTCAAAGTGCTGGGATTACAGGCGTGAGCCACTGCGCCTGGCCAAAAATACTTTTGTTTTTTATTTAAAAAAAATTTTATTTTGAGACAGTCTTGCTTTGTCGCCAGGCTGGAGTGCAGTGACATGATCTCGGCTCACTGCAACCTCCGCCTCCTGGATTCAAGCAATCCTCCTGCCTTAGCCTCCCAAGTAGCTGGGAATACAGGCGTGCCCCACCACACCCAGCTAATTTTTTGTATTTTTAAGAAGAGACAGGGTTTCACCATATTGGCCAAGATGGTCTTGATCTCTTGACCTCATGATCCACCCACCTCGACCTCCCAAAGTGCTGGGATTACAAGCATGAGCCGCTGTGCCAGGCTGAAAAAAATTTTTTTGAGACAGAGTCTCACTCTGTCACCCAGGGTGGAGTGCAGCAGCGTGATCTCGGCTCACTGCAACCTCTTCTTGGCTCACTGCAGCCTCTTCCTCATGGGTTCAAACAATTCTTAGGCCCCAGCCTCCTGAGTAGCTGGAATTCCAGGCACACACCACCACATTCGTTTATATTTCTTTTATTTTTAGTAGTGATGAAGTTTTGCCATGTTGACCAGGCTGGTCACAAACTCCTGCTGTCAAGTCATCTGCCTGCCTCGACCTCCCAAACTGCTGGGATTACAGGCGTGAGCCACCGTGCCCAGCCCAAATGCTTTAGCGATAATTTTCTTTGGGAAGGGAGTTGAATTAGGGGTGAGATGGGCTTTAATTTATATTACTTCACTGCTTTATTTTAATTTTAAAAACTTTTGTGACTTTACAAAATGGGATTTAAAATGATATATACTATCTTTCATGTACAGTAGAAAATCAATTTTTAATAAAACTGTGGTTTGCCATTTTCCATCTTTGTACAGGACATCATGGTGATGTTGGGGCTCCCATAGCTGATGTTATTCTCCCAGGAGCTGCTTACACAGAGAAGTCTGCTACATATGTCAACACTGAGGGTAGAGCTCAGCAGACTAAAGTAGCAGTGACACCTCCTGGCTTGGCAAGAGAAGACTGGAAAATTATAAGAGCACTCTCTGAGGTATAATTTCTGAGGCATTTCTTAGTGATGCTGCTAAAGGGATATTTGACATTTTAGCCTGTTAGAATGATTTTCAGAGTCAAGGAAGATGCCAATTTGAAATGCAGAGATGATTTAAATAATTTCTATAGGAAACATGTATTCAGAAACAGTAATTCAAGGTTACAGTGAACTCTTATTGCACCACTGCACTCCGATCTGAGGGACAGAGCAAGACCCTGTCTCTTAAAAAATAAAGGAATTTGCAGGGAGTTCGTGGCTCACGCCTATAATCCCTTTGTAAGCATTTTAGGAGGCTGAGGCTGACAGATCACGAGGTCAAGAGAGCAAGACATCCTGGCCAACACAGTGAAACCCCATCTCTACTAAAAATACAAAAATTAATTGGGTGTGGTGATGTACACCTGTAATCCCAGCTACTAGGGAGGCTGAGGCAGGAGAATCGATTGAACCTGGGAAGCAGAGGTTCTAGTAAACAGAGATCGAGCCACTGTGCTCCAGCCTGGTGACAGAGTGAGACTCTCGAATTAATTAATTAATTAATTTGAAATTGGTGCTTTTATTATTTTATTTATTTATTTTTGAGACAGAGTTTCCCTCTGTTGCCCAGGCTGGAGTGCAGTGAAATTATCTCAGTTTACTGCAACCTTCATCTCCCAGGCTCAAGCAGTTCTCATGCCTCAGCCTCCCAAGTAGGTAGGATTACAGGCATGTACCACTAAGCACAGCTAATGTTTGTATTTTTAGTAGAGGTGGGGTTTCACCATGTTGGCCAGGCTGGTCTCCAATTCCTGCCCTCAAGCGATTTTCCCACCTCTTTCTCCCAAAGTGCTGGGATTACAGATGTGAGCCACTACACTAGGCCTGAAATTGGTGCTTTTATTGTTGAAAATTGTTGACTTGTCTTTTGCCTGAAAATGTGTCTGTTAGCTCTTTATTGATGTAAAAGTAAGCATCCTTTTAAAATAATGATACATTGTAAACTTTGTGTATTGTTAGCAGAAACATTTGGATTTAGCATAGTATTGTCTCTTTAATCATTTCATAGAGTTACTAATGTACTGACAGCTGTTTATGAATTAGAATTTTTGATATTTGTGTTCTCTGCTTAACTGTTTCTTCATAAATGTATGTCTACTAATGGACACCAATAGATTTTTCAGTAGTGCCATTTTTTGTTGTTTTTGGGAACCTGACATGTAGATTGCGGGGATAACTCTTCCATATGATACTCTGGATCAAGTAAGGAACAGATTGGAAGAAGTCTCTCCTAATCTTGTTCGATATGATGATATCGAAGGGGCTAATTACTTCCAGCAAGCAAATGAGCTCTCAAAGGTAACAGCTCGCCTATGAGCAGTTTTCATAGTGGCTTATCTACTGCTTTAACAGTACTAGTTTTCCATAGTATTGTTGATCTCTTCTTTTTTGTGCAGCTGGTGAATCAGCAGCTTCTTGGTGACCCACTTGTTCCACCTCAGCTAACTATAAAAGACTTTTACATGACAGGTAAGTAATTGTCAACATGACTGCCAAATATGAGAGATAAGAAGTAGTCAGAACACCTCATTTGGTATTATAATTCCAATTTGTGATTGGTAGTGTTTGCAATTCTTTTTTTTTTTTTGAGACGGAGTTTCGCTCTTGTTACCCAGGCTGGAGTGCAATGGCCCGATCTCGGCTCACCGCAACCTCCGCCTCCTGAGTTCAGGCAATTCTCCTGCCTCAGCCTCCTCAGTAGCTGGGATTACAGGCATGTGCCACCATACCCAGCTAATTTTTTGTATTTTTAGTAGAGATGGGGTTTCACTGTGTTGACCAGGATGGTCTCGATCTCTTGACCTCGTGATCCACCCGCCTTGGCCTCCCAAAGTGCTGGGATTACAGGATTGAGCCACCGCGCCCGGCCGTGTTTGCAATTCTTAATCTTTGACGGTTTTCAAACATTGAAGCTAACATTAGCTTATTTTCTGATTACCCTCTAAATTTTTTTGTTGTTTCTGAAATGTAAGCAAAGTTTAAAAATCCAAACAATAGACTTTAAATATAAAATTTTATTGTTGTAAGGGAAGTTACTGTGTGGCAATTTAGGGAGAATATCCAAAGTGACAAATAACTGAAGGTTTTTCTGAGAATTATAGGTAGAAGAATCAAAACATTTAAATGTGAAACATGTTAAACAGTGCTTCTGATGTAAGTTGTTAGGAATATTTTTAAGAATGCAGACAAACTTCTTTACTGCAGATTCTTAGAACAGTTGATATAACATCTAGATTATGAGGTACTTAATGGTTGACAGATTAACTATCTAAAAGTACATAGGAGTCTTTTAATTTTTTGATATAGTTTGTAAGATTATTAATAGATAGATAATAAGTTACCTTCGTTGTAAAATAGTACCTATGCTGAAAAGCACAACGAAAAATCACTTCTGCAGCATTTATCTAAGAACTTAGAAAGAAGGAAACAACAGACACCGTAGGCTACTTGAGGGTGGAGGCTGCGAGGAGGGAGAAGTGCAGAAAAGACAAGTCTTGGGTACTGGGCTTAATTCCTGGGTGATGAAATACTCTGGGGTACAACAAACCCCCATGACATGAGTTTACCTGTGTAAAAATCCTTCACATGTACCCCTGAACCTAAAATGTTTGTTTGTTTTTTTTTTTAAAGTCACTACATTCCTACTACCAAGAAATAACTATAATTCTTTTTAACATTTTAATCACTCTTCCTCCAGGGACACACATATATATTATATACATGTATAATATATTATTATTTTAATAATTATATATTGTTATTTATATGTATGTAGCCCTTTTTTATAATTTTTTAATGGCTGCTGCACTGTCTAGCTCTTCTATAGTTACTAGATTATTTGTTTTTTGTTTTTTGTTTTTTTGAGACTGAGTTTCACTCTTGTTACCCAGGCTGGAGTGCAATGGCACGATCTTGGCTCACCGCAACCTCCGCCTCCTGGGTTCAGGCAATTCTCCTGCCTCAGCCTCCTGAGTCGCTGGAATTACAGGCACGCGCCACCAT